ACTGCTCCTGTGGTACGTGCAACTATCTGCTCCCCCCCCTGCTCCCCTGCTTGCTGCTGTGCCCATTGTGTTCCCTGCTTGGTACCCTCTCGCCTCTCCTCTCCTCCTGCATGCCCCCTGCTGCGTTCTCACTATGCTTCCCGCATCTACCGTGTGACGCAGCAGGGAGGTTCCCCTCCTTCAAGCCTGCATTCTGCTCGTCTCCTTGTTTATTTACGCACAGGTGACCATCGGTACAGCAGGCAAGGCAACGGATCTGATCACACAGAACGCGTTCATGGTGAAGGACTCGGAGAAGATCTCCCTCTTGCAAGGTCCCATGCCTCTGTGTCTCTTCCTCTTTCCGTCTCCCTCGTATTCCTGTACAGGTTACTATTGGCACGGCAGGCAAGGCAACGGATCTGATCACACAGAACGTGTTCATGGTGAAGGACTCGGAGAAGATCTCCCGCCTGCAGCGCCTTTTGGAAGGGATTGGGGAGGACCGCACGGCCATTGTGTTTGTCAACACCAAGAAGACGGCCGATGGTGTTGCCAAACAGGTGGGGTGCGGTTGGGCAGGTTTTGGGGGTTGAGGAGGTGGGGTGCGGTTGGGCGGGTTTTTGGGGTTGAGGAGGTGGGGGAGGGGGGGAGATTAGGATTGGGGATTGGGGAGGTCCGCACGGCCATTGTGTTTGTCAATACCAAGAAGATGGCCGATGGTGTTGCCAAGCAGGTGAAAGGGTTATGCGGTGCGGTTGGGCTGGTGGGTGGTTGAGGGTGGTTAGGGGAAGGGTGTGTACTCAATGTTGGGAAGGACCGGAAGCGTGCTTATCTATGTGTGTGCTTGCTTGCTCCCTTGCTTGATCTTGTTCCATCCCTGCAGATCGACAGGATGGGGTTCAATGTGATCACGCTGCACGGAGGCAAGACACAGGAGCAGCGAGAGGTCAGCTTGGAGGACTGAGGCTGGCCCAAAAGGGTCGGATCTTGCCAACAAAAGTCCTTATCAGTGTGTGTTCTCCCTTGCTTCACCTCCATGCCCACACCTGCAGATCGACAGGATGGGGTTCAATGTGACCACGCTGCATGGAGGCAAGACACAGGAGCAGCGAGAGGGAGGTCAGCCTTGAGAGCCTCGGCTAATCTCAAGTGTGTGTGCTCGCTCCCTTGCATGCTCTGGATTCCCACACCTGCAGATCGACAGGATGGGGTTCAACATGACGACCCTGCATGGAGGCAAGACACAGGAGCAGCGGGAAGTCAGCCTGGAGGGCTTTGACTTATCCCAACTGTGTGTGCTTGCTCCCTTGCTATGGCCATGCCTGGTTGCTCTGCATTCCCATGCGTGCAGATCGACAGGATGGGGTTCAATGTGACGACGCTGCATGGAGGCAAGACGCAGGAGCAGCGGGAGGTCAGCCTGGAGGGCTTCAGAACGAAGAAGTTCAACGTGCTGGTGGCCACGGATGTGGCCGGCCGTGGTATTGACATCCCGGTGAGCATCAGCTGTGGTTGCCAGGCGAGCAGATTTAATAAGTCAGCTTGGAGGGCTTTCAAACGAAGAAGTTTAATGTGCTGGTGGCAACAGACGTGACGGGGCGTGGTATCGACATCCCGGTGAGCATCAGATGGGATTGCCTCAAAACAAAAACATATGATGAGAGTACCAGCACCAATCGGTCAGCCTGCAGGGATTTCGATCCAAGGTGAGCAGGTACTGATATGTCAGCGTGAAAAGGCTTTCGATCAGAACGAAGAAGTTCAACGTGCTGGTGGCCGCAGACGTGGCTGGGCGTGGTATCGACAATCCCGGTGAGCATCTATCTATCAGAGTGTGTCTTCGAAGCTGTTATGGTGTTGTGGTGGTTGTATTGTTGTGATGTTGTGGTGTTGTGGGGGGGGGGGGCGATAGATGTTCAATGTGCTGGTGGGTACAGACCGTGGCGGGGTGTGGTATTGACATCCCGGTGAGCACTGACTGTAATCAGTATCAAAACACGCTGGCGCTGGTGGAAGGGAGATAGCCACGTGATAAAAGATTGTTTTGAGACGTCTCAAAACATCCCGGTGAGCACTGACTGTAATCAGTATCAAAACACGCTGGCGCTGGTGGAAGGAAGAAGCAATTGTTGTCGATGTTCTGGGCGATCGTTGCTGGAAGGGATTCTTGTTGGGAGGAAAATCCAGAATTTTACTGCTCTTTCGCAATGATTGAGTGAGGTGAGCAAGTGAGTGAATGACTGACCAGTGAGAGGGTGTGAGTGCAGGAGCCTTCATGCTAATTCATCAACCCTTCATCCACACGTCTCCCCTTCCATCCAATCAGGACGTGGCACATGTCATCAACCTTCGACATGCCAGGCAAACATTGAGATGTACACTCACCGCATTGGTACGCTCCTCTTTTCTCCTCCATCACATCTTTCGTCACACATCACTCGCCCCTCTCATTTTGTTTGACTCACTGAAACACCCTCTCCTTTCCACTAACCGTTCCCTCCCCCCTCTCTTTCCCCACCCCACCCCCCCCCACCCCCACCCTATCCCCCTATACGACTCCGTTTCTCTTTGACCTGCTGGGCACTGCAGGGCGAACGGGGCGTGCAGGCAAAGACAGGCGTGGCCACCACCTTCCTCACGCTGCACGACTCGGAGCTCTTCTACGACCTCAAGCAGGTGTGCTGTTTCACCCCTGAGACGACCAGACGACTCAAAGGTGACTCTAGAACTGTCTCAAAAGACAGGCGCGGCGACCACATTATCACCTTCTCCACGCTGCATGACTCGGAGCTCTATACGACCTCAAGCAGGTGTGCTTTGCCCTCGTTAGCGGGCGATGACTGTCTGAGCCAACTCAAACATGACTGTTGAGTTGAGTCAACACAAATGGACAGGCGTGGCATCCACCTTTCTCACGCTGCACGACTCGGAGCTCGTCTACGACCTCAAGCAGGTGTGCTCCTCGCCCTTGATTCAACTCAGAGGTGTGATGTGTGAGTTGTCTCAAGCATCCACCTTTTTCACGCTGCATGACTCCGAGCTCTTATACAATCTCAAGCAGGTCTGCTCCCCACTACCCCGCTCCCCCCTCTCCCCTCACCCCGCCCCCCCTTCTCCCGGCTCCCCTCTCTCCCCTCTCTCCCCTCTCTCCCTGCTCCCCGCTCCCGGTCCCCGCTCCACTGCCCGCACCCTCCTCTTCCCGCTGCTCTCTCTCCCCGCTCCCCCCCTCCTTCTCACGCTGCATGAATCGGGACCTCAAGCAGCTCCGCTTTCCTCTTTACTGCTCCTCTTTTCCCTCCCGCTCCTCCCCTCCTCTCTTTCAGTCTTCTACGGTCTCAATCAGACCTCTTCCCCCTTTTTCCATGCTCCGCTTTTCTCTCCCTTCCTCCCTCCTCTTCTCTTGTGCACTTTTTTTCGACCTCAAACATGCCTCCTCTCCTTTCCAATCCTCCCCCCCCCCCCCCCCCTCCCCTCCCCCTCCCCTACCCCCTTGTCCCTTCTCCTCCAATCACAGATGCTTACTCAGAGTGGTTGTGCCGTACCTCCCGAAACTCGCCCGGCACGAAGCTGCCAAATTCAAACCAGGTACGGCTCGACCTTCGCCTTTTCAGTGAGCTTTTACTTTGTAGCTACTTATGAATCGTTGGTTCAATTTTTTTCACAATATTTCAATCGCTTATCATTTTGAACGCGTTTCATTCACTCCAATGTGGTGCACTTTTTGCTTCGTGCAGGTTCCATTCCGGACAGGCCCCGTCGTAGCGAGCAGCTTTTCACACATTGATGAAGTCTTCATTCCAGGCATTTTTAAATGGTTGGTGTTTCACATTTGGATTAGTTATACCAACATGCCTAGTACCGATGACTAACTACTTTCTCACATTAAGTCTCACAGTCTAGCACCAACTGAAACAGAGCAAGTGCATTAATGGTACTGCGTATGTTACAAACGTAAATGCGGAAGCCCTTCTTTCTGGAAGGAACTGCGGCTGACTCGTTCGTTCCTCGTCCTTTCTTTCTGCAGGCCAGCGCGCCTCGTAATGACTTTTCCTCATCTTTCGTGACTCCTGCCCGATTTCGAATTTGACTACAGTGCCGCCCTTGCTAAGCAGAGTTCTTGGAAATAAAGCACACGAAGAATTTGACTACAGTACTGCCTTGCTAAGCAATAAGTTGTCTTCAACTGACCTGAAGAGTTACAACTGTACCAAGAAAGTGACCCTTGCCAAGTATTACCGTGTCCTCGTCATCTTTATTCTCCGCACACATCATCTTCACGACTGTTTCAAATCGCTTGGGATTGACTCATCTCACCGACCTTCTCAAACAAGCCATCACGATTCTCACCTCACCGCGTCTTCTCGAAAGCACAACGCGCTGGGTAATGAGTGCGGTAATGTATTCTTTCATAACGGTACCTCTCGTTACGGGGGACTTCGTTCACCTAACTGACTGTGAGTAGGAATGACGGAACCCTAATTCACATGATTGGACTCATTTTGACGTTCCCATGTTGCGTGTTCTTTCTTAGCTCTGGTCTACGCGTCTTTGTCAACTAAACTCGCCTCGTCGCACTTTCGGTTTCGTATGCATCTATAATAGTGCCGTCTTTACATGTTTATACTTGCCTCACGAACCCTAATGCTAGAGGGTCTTCAGTTCTTTAGTGGCATTCTCGAGCATCAGCTTTTGAAAGAAGGGCCTATCTTAAGTGTGTCGCAATAAGCGTCGCCGCTTGCTGAGACGGGTTACGCAGTTACCACTTCCGTTTCTTCGTTTTCTTCGTCCAACGGCATGGACATCGCGAGTGTGAGACATTGACATCCTCGACCCTTCGCAGGTACTTACCTAAAAGAAACGAACAATGAAATATGATAACGAAGAACATGAGTAAGAAAGAAAAAGAATAAGACAAAAAAAAAATCTTGCTTTCTCGTCTTTTCCGTGTTTCGATGGCCCTCCCTCTTCGTTGTACAAACATCCTACAGTTTTTACTGTCACGCTGGGCTGTCCTAACCAGGGTGCGTGGCTGTAAAACGAGTGTTAACTGTACTGGGGGCTTTACTCTAGCCACGCTTCTGGCTGCGAAACGAAGTGTTTCTGTATTGCGAGGTAGACCTGACGATATTTCTGGCTCTGTATAACGGATGGTTACTGTACTAGGCGGTCGGCTTAGCGAGACGTCTAGCTGCATTGCAATCTCGAGTCCTATCCTGTTGTCGCATGGTCCAGTCCTGCTGTCCGCACGGCCGACTTCTGTTGTTGCACGGTAATGCTGCTGTCGCACGGTAATGCTGCTGTCGCACGGTAATGCTGCCGTCGCACGGTAATGCCGCCGTTGCATCAGACTGGGACACGCGAATACCCACCCAACTACATTGCGGTCGCCTCCGCACCTCAAGTCCCTTTGATGCCCCCATTCTCCTCCAAACCCCAATGCCGACGCGCTCCGCGTAGCTCATTCGCCTTGGTTCTCTGCACGGGGAGGTCTCGCTTTGGTTGTCTCCCATCAATTGCCTCGTGTCCCTTGTCCTTTATGATACACACCAATTTGCGTGTGCCCCTGCATTCCCGCCCCTCCCTGGTTCCCCCCTCAATCTCCCGCCCTTCCATCCCCCTTTCCTCCTTTACTCCTCATGTCATCTCTCTGCCTCCCTTCCTCCCTCCCCTTGTTCCCCTCCTCCCAATCTCTCCTTTCGTTCTTTCTCCATTCCTTCTCTTCTGCCGTCCTGTCCCACGCTTCTCCTTTACTCCTCTCACCTCACCTCATCCTCTTTCCTCCTTACCTTCTTTCCTCTCCTCCCCTTTTCTCCCTCTTCACCTCTCCTTCGCTTCTCTCCGTCCTCGCATCCTCTCTCCCTCCTCCTCTCCCTCCTCCCATCCATCCCTTCATTCCCTCTCCCCTCCTCTAGTCTTCCCTCATTCCTTCCTCCCCCTCCCTCCATAATCTCCCGCCCGTCCTCTACCGTCTCCCATTTGCTTCCCTTCTTCCCTCCTCTCACCTCCTCCCGTCCTCTACCATCTCCCCTCCACTCTTTTCGTCCACTCCCCTCGTTTCCTCATCTTCTCTGCTTCCTTCATCTCCCCTCTTCTCTCCTCTCCCCATCCACTCCTCTCCTTCCCATCCCTCATTTCCCTTCCCCCTCAACCCACCCCCCCTCCCCCCCCTTCCTGCTACCGGTATTGGACCTCACAGAATTTTCAACCCTTTTGTCTCTCGCCTCTATCTGCTTTTTCTTTCCACTTTACCTCGCTGCACTCCTCTCCTGACCTCTTCTGTTTTTGTGGAAAAATTCCTCCTGGCTCTTGCTACTCCTTCCATTTCGCCTCCGCTTGTTTTCCCACTGCCCATTTCCTCACTGCCCGTTTCCCCACTGCCTGTCCCCCTCCCTCTGGTTCTAATCTCTTCCCTTTGTCTCCCTACTCCTGTTTCTCTCCTACCTCCCGCTATTTGCCATTCTCCTCTTCTCTGAACCCCATCATGGCCCATCCCTTTACAGATGGCCTCCTATACCAACGACCAACTACTGCTAACGAGCTCCTCTTTCCTCTAGACCACACTCAACCACCTATCACCGCAGCACCGCCTCATCGAACCTTTTCATCGGAACCATCTTCCCAGCGTGCCTGTTGAGAACTCCCAGTGAACCGTTTCAACTTGATTAACCATCTGAGCACCAGCACCCTGCACCAGCGACTCCCACCCACCCCGTTCTCCCCCTCCTCTCCCTCGCCTTACCACCACCTTGGCCATGGGCTGTGCGATCAGCATCTCAGCAGACGAAAAAAAAAGGCAAGGATGCCAAAAGTGGCGACGCTCCAGCTGCTCCTGCAAAGCCAGCTGTCACCTTCACCCCCATTGATCGCTCCATGCCTCCCATCGTATCTGGTGAGGTGCTCTCGATGCCCCAGACCAGAAAACCCATGGAGTCGATATATGAGCCCAAGGAGGGGTAAGTAAAAACACCCTCCGTGTGTGTGTGCCAGTGTGTGGGAGTGGAAGTTGGCGAGCGGAACAGAGGTGTATGTATGTGGGTCCATGGCTTGTTTGGGTTACTGGGTGGAATTTGGTGGTGTAATGTTATACCAGCAAGTACAATAGTGGTCTAGAATTCGCCTGTCCTGCTTTCACTGTTGACAGGATGCGGTTTTGAAGCTTGAGATAGATACAGTAGTTGACATACCCAGGAGCTTGTGTTGCTCCATCCATGGATGTTTGGATTACGCTAGATTTGAGGTGTAGTTATTACTTGTAGTCAGGCCTGAAATTGTTTTGCTGTTTGGTATTACAATTTATGTAGCCCAGTCGTGAGAAAAAATACCACTGTAGTACCGTAAGTTCCGAGCAGAAACAGTAGTGGGGGATAAACTTTGGAACTCAGGCATTCCCGAAAGTCAGGAATCTGCTAGAAAGGCATAGTGCCGGCGTAGCGGAAACGTGTTTGTAGAAAAGAACAAGATAGAAATCTTGCATTGATCATTGAAAAGTAGAATGATGTGATGACACAATTATAACTTAATGATAACTCAATGATGTGACACAGCAGGGAATAGGTACGGTATGCATCCAGCTACCCCTCTAGAATGACCCATTCACACCAATAATTGTACCCTCTACCCTCCAAAAATGCTGGGCTCCAATAATTGTGGCCCCTACAATAATTGTCACAATTATTGTAGGACCTAGAAGCTTATCAAGAGGACTACACTAAAACCAAACAGCACACTGGTATACAGTATTCGTTATACTGTACTCGGATTTCCAACAGAATCTACCCCACGCCTGCTTAGCAGCACATGCTTGTACATGTTTAGGACGCGTCAGCTGCCTCGATCGATCCTGCGCAGGATCGATTTTTGATTCGGTTCAAAAAGTTTTCAAGCAAATTTAAATGCAACACGCGGGATTTTAGTGCGGTGGACGATCGATCTTCCTCGATTTTGCATGATCGATCGAGGGAGGTGACGCGTCCTTAGCAAGCACAGCCTGCTTTACCAGCTTCATGAGCATATCGGCCTCCTTAGCCACTGACTCACTCTCACCATACCTCCTCTTCACTACCGGTATCTCCTTCACTCTAGTTCTCTGTAAATCCAATCTAGTTACGTTGGATGCAATTAGCTTGGTGAGAACTGGATGTCGATACATTTTGAACAAAATAATACATGAGATGAGATACAAAGACACAACTGTGTGGCCATAAACGCCTAGGCATTCCTGAGAATAAGGTATCTGCCCCACGCCTGCTTAGCAGCACGTGCTTCCTCATGCTTGGCAAGCACAACCGGCCTGAGCAGCTTCACAAGCCTATCAGCCTCCTTAGCTGCTGACTCACTCTCACCATACCTCTCCTCTAACTCTCCCACACTAGCTTTCAACCCTGCAACTTTCCTTGCGAGCCTTTCCCTCTCCACAATCGCACCTTGCAGCCCTTGCCTTCTTTCCAAAACCAACGCCTCAGCTCGTTGCACCTTCTGGCTCATTGCTCCTGCCACTCTCTCTGCCTGAGCCTTCACCAGTTCTGCCTCCTCTCGATGCAGCCTTGCTCCCAAGGTCCGTGTTCCTGCCGACTCAACAGTCATGG